TCTCTCTTTTTACTCTTTCCAGAGTACTCTCGATACTCTTATGGCAATTGCAGCATTGGCTTCTTGTGGTGCTATCTGTTCACTAGTTCCTTCAAATATTTGTGGTCTGCTAGAACCTATGCCTTGCAAATATTTGTGGTGGCATCCCCTGGATAGGTTCATGTTTATGAACTGACTAGCAATCTCACCCTCCCCACCCCTGGATTTTATCGTTAACTTCTCCCCTCTCAGACACCTATGAGTGAGTTGTATTATAGTGGTACAAATTCTGAACCTGGTTTGAATAAATACAACTTGAAGTTAAATTCATGGATGGAAGGTGGTATGTAGCTATGTATAGTAGTTTCTTTAGCAGCAGTTGATGATGGAAGGTGGCCACAACGTAATTTCAAACAAATCAACTTGACTTGAAGTTAAATGGGTGGATGAATGGTGGGTGTGTTATGTGATTTTGTTGCAGTTGGAGGTACAACGTTATGTAATAGTTATAATGAAAGATTTTACTAGGAGAAGGAACTGCTGTTAGCTAAGTCCTCTTTATGATGCCTGGCTGTTAGTGGTTGATTCAAAAGTTTCCCATGCTTTTTATTTATGTTTATGTATTTATGTGTTTGAATTTAACTTTCCGGTCTAAAAGCTGAACCCTTTTTCTGCAGGGATCAATTCAGGCAGGCTATTGTAAAGCACGGCTGTGCTGAGTTTCTTAGTAGGTCTCGAAGAACGTATCCTAAAGAGAAGTTGTGGAATAGTCCAACGAGTCCACCGGCATGGTCAAACTCTTCTGTTAAAGGTATCATATCATTCTGTCCTATTACAGGGCCTGTTGCTTCCGAACTTGATTGTACAGCAGCTCATCTATTTTATTTGATTCTGTTTGGCTGTCCTGTCACAGGTGTACTTTCAGCCTCTACCAGTTCAGGGACAAAGAAACCTGGTGTACTACTCAACTCTCCACGTAGACACGGTAATCAGAAGAAGTTCACAAAGCAAGAATGGGAAAGATTTCACTAGAGAATCAACCCAAATAACTATGGCAGAACTGGCAGCAACTCCAGAATTCACTGACTGGGTCATCGAGCGTGCAGACCGTATAAAGCTCATTTCAAATGACAGTTCAGATGAATCAATTGGGAGCAAATCGAGTTCTATAGACGAAGAAGCTGAAGAGAGCAGCAGTCAGTTTAGATTCTTTAGTTGGAAACCATGAAGTTGAAGATAGCATTAACCCGGGAATTACACAAGAACATGTTAAATTAGCATCAAATTTAGGAAATTTAGCAGCCATTTGCCAAGTGCAATCTCTGTGAGCATTTAGCATGACATTTTCCAACAAATTAACTGACCACGTAATGCAGACGGTGAGACTGTTTACCATTTGATGTAACTTGAGTACTGTACAGACGAAGCTAGGAGAACTGCAGGTATGTAATTTAGTTTTTTTTGTAGTAGATGCAAATTCGATTCGTTATACCATTTGTTACAATATTTTATGGGGCCACACCAATATATCTTAGAGCATAAATCATTCAACAAAGAATTGGGAGAAACAAAGTTCATGGAGATACTGAGGACCATTATTATAATCGAGCCTCTCATTAATTACATCAAAAGTAAACATTCTATAACAAATGAAAGTGATACATTTACAATGTTTTGTAGTATTGACATGTGATTATACAATTAATTTTTTTATATTTAATAGAGTTAGTAATCCAGATTGATATGTATTATTTTTTTATAAATATAAAATCACAACTTTACAAGTATTTATAGATTTACTCTTCTACCCTCAATGGAAAATACAAATTCGACCTCAAGACCCTATCATGCATCTATAGCATTATATTAACTCTATGTTAGATATACTTAAGACCAAAATGGCTAACTCAGAAGCTAGAATAGTGTTTTCTCAATAATCCTTAACTAGCCCCACCACATCAATTTGGATTCAGGACATGCCACTTGTTTTGTCTGGAAATGAGAAATAGGATTTCCGTGACAATCCTCTCATTTCAAGTAAGAGATCTCCAAATAGGATGGTTGAAAGGTTGTCCATCTGTGAATTTTGCTGCGCCTCAAATAATGTTGCAAAATGAAGGGTTTTGCTTTGCAAGTTGGGTTATTAATTGTCATGGAGAACTTCAAAGACTTAGAAACTATTAGGATATATAAAAGGTTATCAATCTTAAATTAAAGACAATTTACTAAGAAAGAAACTATTAAGATATATAAAAGGTTATCAATCTTAAATTAAAGACAATTTACTAAGAAAATCAACTAAGAACAATGTGGAATTGATATTTACTTGAAATAAATTTGCATACTAGAGACTGCCCTAGCTTACAGACTAAATCTATGATTTTGCAAACCATATTTAAACTCTAGAAAAGTAATTCAGTTTACTTCCAGACTAAACAAAAACTAATTAATCTACTAAAGATTATAGTTAAGAAATTATTTGCTCAAAAGTATAGTTGCGAATTGAAAAAGAAATAATTATCTAAATGACAAGTAATGCAAAAAGATTGTCCCAAAAGTGATAAAAAAGGTTGTGCTAATATCATTTTCCTTGCAAATTAAGCTAAAATTTGGAAATAATCAATCCAAAAGATGCGAATTATTGCATGAATGAAATCACGAAGAAAGCAAACATGCAACCCAATTGAGAAAACACTTGAAGAAGTAGAATTTGTTGAAAATCACTAACCAATTCAAAATCAAAAGGGAAAACCAAAACAATATGGCTGGTTTTGCTTCCGAATTCCCAAAGTGAAAGATGATATCTTTGTAGAAAACTACAAACAAAATAGACGGATTCAAACTGAAGCTATATACAAGAGCAAGTCTTTGAACTTCTTCGAGAGGGGTGCTAAAAGATGACTAAAATAATCTAAAAACTAGTGTTGATTTGCGCTAGTCAATTCTTCAAGAGGAGTAGGTTTGAAACCGATTTCTGTCAAGGAAGATTATCATTATCATTTTTATGCTTTTTATTTCCCATATTTATCTTATTTTGTATATAAATAATGCTTCCTTGGGTATTGTTAGTAGCTTTTACAGAACGTAGGAGTTGAGTTGTAAAATTGAAGCTAGAAGAGACTGGTGGACCATAATGTCAAAATGTGAAAAGTTGAGTGACCAGAGTGCCAAAAACGTGAAACTTATGGCCGTCTGCTGCTCCAAATCAAACGTGATTGATGGCTTTCTCTTTGAGAATTGAAAAAGAGATTTGTTTGGAGTCTTAATCCCATGACTGGTGGACCATTCAAGGAAAGAAATGTTTGGGATTTTGGTCTGATTTGTTTGAACAATTTATTTAGACAAGTACTGAACGTACAAATTGAATCGTAAATTGCTCCCGTCATGAAAGCCAGGGCTGCACTTATTTGATATAAAGGGTTAAAGCCAACTGTAGTTCTCGTATTTTGTGAACATGTTTATTACCATCCCTCTACTAAGGAAATGTTCAATGTCATCCCTCTACTTTACTTACGATATAAATGTCATCCCGCTACTACAATTTTTTGGTTCAATGTCACCCTTAATTGGATGCCGCCTACATTTCTGTTAAATTTGACCATTATTGCCTAATGATCAAGTATTTAACTTTTGCTTATTAATTTTTTATCTACCAAATGGGACTAATTTTTCTTATTAAAATATGCATTTAACCATTTACCTTAATAAGTTTGAAGTTTTTAATCATTTACCTTACACTATAAAGTTTTTGCATTTCAATTTAAAAATTTTAATATTTTAGCTCATAAACTAACGGAATCCTTTAACTCTTTGTTAGAATAAGAATAAAATATTTATAGAACTAATCCTCAAAGATTAAAATGTAATAATTTAATTTTAAAATTTTAAAAATTAAAAAATAGTAAATTAAAAATAATTAGTGTATGGTTTTGGCATATACACAAAAACAATATTAAATATCTATAATTAAATCAAGTGATTAGCTCAATCTAAAAAAAATTTTGATTGAGATTAAAGAAAATTTCTTGATTATATTTTTTTATTCTCTTGAATTTTCTATTTTAATTTAGTTAAGAAATATATTTTAATCTTAGTCAGAATTCTTTCTTCAAATTGAGCTAATTGCTCGATTTGATTATAAATATTCAATATTGTTCTAGTGTATATGAAAAAGTCATCTATTAATTCTTTTTAGTTTATTAATTTATTTAATTTTTAAACTTCTGGAACTAAATTATTATATTTTTAATCTTTAAGAATTGATTCTATAACTATTTTATTCTAATTTTAATGAAGCCTTAATGGATTCTATTAATTTAGGAACTAAAGCTAGAAAGAATAACACAGAACTAAAAAATAATAATAATAAAAAAAAAGAGTTTTGTCTTCCTGTAGTGACAGCCGAGGAGACCATGAAATACTTTTCAAATTTGATTTCTTCTCTGCAATAATCTCCTTTCTTTTATTTTCCTATAGAAATGGTTTTATTTACTTTGCAATGAAAAGTTTGTATATATATAAGTATACATTTTTTTTATGCTTCCATTGTTCATCCGTTTCATTTATTCTTCTTGCACTTTTGGTGGTTCTGCTTTATTCCTTTAATATGTTTTGATTGTAATTAGTTCATCTCCAGTAATTCCATTGTTTTTCAGCATTAATTAATTTTGCTGATTCATACTTGCAATTACTTTTGATGAGTGCGATTTCTTGAGTAGCAGCAAAATAAGCACATTACTTGTAAATAAAAATTTTCTACTTTGTTAAAGAGGAAAAAGAAATATATTTTTTTATTCGGTCAGAATCTGGCTGATTAATTTCTTAGTACGCCTGCATTTTTCAACCAACAAAATTGTCATTGGTAATCATTACAATTATTATGCATGTTCAGTTTATTTTGTTTTTGATTTAGTTATCATGGCTAGGTAAAACCTCTTTTACATCTAGGATTATAAAACTAGCTCCATTAGCACATCTAGAAGCAATTAATCTCTGCTGTTTTAATTTGGTCATGCTTATGTAGGGTATTTTTTTATGTCTTGTGGTGATTCATTTTAATATATTATAGTTGATTTGAATATATTCATAATTTATTTTTGATGAACAATAAAGAAATATCATACTACTACTTAAGATTGTCTTTAGGCTTTTTATATCACTACCTGATAGATTAATTTATTAGGGATTACCCTTTTATAATTATGCTTGCAAAATGAATGACTAATTGTATAATCTGAGACTAAAATAAGTGAATGACAATTGCAACTAGATGTGTTTATGTGACCTAGTGGATTAATCTTGAATGTTCATTAATATTTTGTCATCATCTATTTTTACTATTTATAATTTTGCCTTCTCAATTATTATTATTATTTTTTATTTCTCTTAGTTTGCCTGAGTCATTTCTTTGATTTTCTTACAGAACTCCCTGTGCGATCAACTTGTACACGCTGGAGTTCTATAATAACGTCGTGCACTTGTGGTTCATAACTTAAAATATCACAACAAAAATGGTATTTAGCACTTAGTTGGAGCCAAATTTGGTGGCGAGACCCTTTGTTTTGCTCTACTTCTCATAACTGTCTAATAGTGGGTTGTCTAGATCCATGTCTAGGCTGCAAAACTTTCTGAATACTCTCCATGTCTGACAGCTATCAGTTATTTCCTAAAACATTTTCACATGTTAAACCACTGACTTTAACTATACCCACGCCCACTAACATTACCTTTTAACTCCCCTCATGATAGAACTGTTCTCCTCTTTCTCAGTTTTACCACAAACAAACACTTTATATATGCGTTGGTAAGGATGGCAACGGGTCCTCATGGGGACGGGGACTCTCTCCCCATCCCCATCCCCATCTCCATCCCCATCCTCATCTTCGCTAATGATGGATACGGGGATCCTTTGACAGGATATAAAAATTACCTCCGTTCTCATACTTATGAGAAATGATGGGTTCTCACGAATATACTGAGTCTCTATCAAATATCAAATATATAAAATTTAATTCTTTTTTTCCTATAAATTAAAAAAATAAAAA